CTATCTATCTATCTATCTATCTATCTATCTATCTATCTATCTTTCTATCTATCTATCCTGTCTGTCTGTCTGTCTGTCTGTCTGTCTGTCTGTCTGTCTGTCTGTCTGTCTATCTATCTATCTATCTATCTATCTATCTATCTATCTATCTATCTATCTATCCTGTCTGTCTGTCTGTCTGTCTGTCTGTCTGTCTGTCTAGCATATAGGTTGAATAAATCAGGGCTTTTCAACCTTTTCACCCATTGTACCACTTTTAGGATATGGCAATATCCGAGTACCACCAGTCGCCTAGCAAGGTGTCAAAAACTTGATGACCCCCCCCAAAAGGAAAAAAGTGATAAAGTACAGGTAATCCTCGACTTACAACAGTTCGCTTAGTGACTGTTCGAAGTTACAATGGCACTGAAAAAAGTGCCCCCAAGCCACAGCCAAGCAAGACACCTGCCTGCTCACCCTGCGGTGCTCTTCCTCCTGTCCGAGGTTTTCATTGTTGTGAGCATTTCTCTTGAGGATTGGCAGCGGGGGTGGGGTGGGGGGGTGTTTGGTTTTTATTCCCCCCCCCCATCTGCTGGGTGGTTGCAGCAGGTTTTGGTCACTTCACATGACCCTGGGACACTGTGACCATCATAAATATGAATCAGTTGACAAGCATCTGAAGGTAAATCACAAGACCCTGGAGATGCTGCAACATTCCAGCTGATCGACGCTTCTTCTGGGCTCAGCAGAAGTGCCAGGATCAGTGCTGCTTTCCAGCTGATTGGTGCTTCTTCAGGGCTCAGCAGAAGCACCAGGACCAGCGCCAAGCTCCAGCTGGAGCCTGGCGCTGATCCTGGCGCTTCCACTGAGCCCTGACAGCCCTGAAGTAGCGCCGATCAGCTGGAAAGTGGCTCTGACAGCCCTGCAGCTCCAGCCATCTCTCGCTCAGGCTTGTGTGGTGTTGCTACCGATTCAGCTCATTCCCCTCCCCTGCTACCACTTTTCTAGGATGGACACGTACCACCTGTCAAGTGCCAATGTACCACAGGTGGTACCCGTACCACTGGTTGAAAAGCCCTGGAATAAATGAGACTATACAGCTTTGCCTCATGTAATGTGCAGATTGGCTTCTTGACCTGTGTATAGTTTTTGCACGAGAACAATGAGATGTTCTGGGATTCCCATTGCACTGCTGGACACATCTACACAGTCAAAGGCTCATCTATAATCGGTGGGGCACATATTAACTTCACTTTTGTAATCTTTGGCTTTCTCAATTATGCAGCATGCATTAGAAATAATGTTTTGGGTCCCTCTGCATTTTTTTAAAGCCATCTTGAAAGTTGGGCTTTTTCTTTTCTATGTAGGATTCTATTTCGCATTGGATAATTCTAAGCATTATTTGGCTAGCAGGTGAAATTAAGTATGCACACACTGCCGAGTTTCCTTTCTGTGGTATTGGTATATAGATCAAGGTCTTTCTTATCTGTTGGCCACTGGGTTGCTCACTAGACTTAGTGGCATAGTTTGGTTAGATCTTTTATGTATTCTTCTTATGTTACTTTCTGAAGATAATTTTTGAAAATAACTATTTCTGAGGAAAATTCCATCAATTCCGGAAGCCTTCTGATTTGACAATGACTGCAGTGTTAAGCTAATCTGATGTTCTAATGCTAGATGTAAGTAGCAAATATCTTCCAATGCATCTTGGATGTTGACATCTTTACTCCTTCCACCTTTATGGGATTTATCAGTTACTATCTGTCCATTAGAAACCTTTCAAATACAAAATTCCAGGTTGGAACAAATTCAAGATAGGAATCAAGATCTTTTGAAAGGCCTTGTTTTCTATGTCTGCTTTCATCTTTGATGTTTTTACAGGTGTTGTAATACTGCTCTGGATCTCTTCTAAGATGTCTGAAATTCTGTTCTTTCCTGAGATTTTTGTCTTTCATAGCTTTGGTTTCTCTTCTTTTTATTTATTTTTTGGCAATTTCCATGGTTAGTTCCAATATCCAGTTGCTTTCTTCCGCTTTTAGGTCTTTGGCAGTCTCTTTTCACCTTCATCCTTAGCAACATTTGTATTTATTCCACAGCTCTGGTTCCCTATCAAGGAAGTTCAAAACTTCAAAATGATTCCTGATGTTCTCTTTAAAAATGGTAGGCATTATGCCCAAGTTCATTTTGTAAAAACAGGTTGATTTTCTGCTGCTTGACCTTGGAACTTGCACATGGGTGGTTCCTGCTTTGTTCTTCAAGCAGCCCCTGACCACATCTTTTTCTTATAACTGAACTCTTTCACTTCCTTGTGCCAATCATGTCATCTGTTTCATTTCCATGTACTCCATTTGGTGCTGTCACTTATCTGACGACAGTGTTAGCAATGAAGAAATATTTGGATTAGCAGACAGTGCTGAGTCATTCTCTTTCTTCATTTGATTTCTTCAGCCATACAGTCCAACCACATTTTCCTCCATATTTCCAACTTTGGCTTTCTAGTTTCTAATGACAAGCAGCATATCTTGCTTTTATGTTCTGTCAAATTCAAATTGAATGTGACCATAAAACTAGATACTTCAAGGGTACTTTAAAAAAATCCTCAGCGCTTCCTCAGTAGCATATTGAGTGCCATCCAACCTCGGGCTCATCAGCCTGCCCTGTATTGTCAATAACTTCATATTGGCTGTCCATGTGGTTTTCTTGGTAAAATGCAGAAGTGTGGTTTATCATTGTCTTCTTCCATACAGTATGAAATGATTATTGTTGTTACTAAAAGAGTGGTCTGCCTCCAGTATCTTCTTATATCGCTGCTGTCCAACATAAGTGTTTGCTTACTTTAGCTGGGTAGCTGGGATGACTTTCATACCTTTGGTTCCATGACTTGGGTTTTTAATCCTGCTGGAATAATATACTTCTGGTGTTCTTTGCTCATCATTCCTGACATTGAATGACAATGGATATTTGTGGAAGACAGGCTGTTTTGAATTATTTTAAGATAGGTTTCTCTAACCTGGGCCCTTCAGTTACATTGACATACGGTAACTCCAATTATCCTGATAACATGGCTAATGACTATGAATTGGTTGGTATGATAGATTTGGAAGATACCAGATTGGTGAAAACCACTTTAAGCACAGTTGGCAATTTATCAATAAGAAGTAGAAACAAAAAGGAGCGAGAGCTTTTGGCCAGTGGTTATAATCTTGTTTTTATTCATATGTGAAATATTGAAGATACATGTGAAATCTAATATCCCAAAATAGCAAGGAATTGGGTTTGCATTATCATATTGCGGTACCATCTTGCTGATTTTGACTCGTCCACAACGATATCATTGCATCAAACTAAAGTCACTGAGTAAGCTTTCACAACAGATTGTGGAATTGAATCTGAACCTCTGCAATTCTAGTTAAACACCCCAACCATTTTATTACATTTCATATGCATCTCGTTAAAAAAAATTGTTTACCAGACGCTTGAACATTTCCTGGTTCTTACAACTATGCCATTGTGATCTGGGCATTTGCCAACTGGCTTAGATTTCTGACAATTGCACATCTCCTGGTCACATGACCTTGATTTGTGAACTTCCCTGCCAGTTTCCCACAAGCAAAGTCAGTGGGAAAGACCGCAGGAAGTTGGAAGTATGCACACACAAAGAAAATAAATTAAGCCCCCCAAAGTCCAACAAACTTGCAAACACAGCAAAAAGCAAGCACAGTGGGGAAAAGTCCAAAGGTCCAAATGTCATAGCCGGGTTGGTAACCAGTCCAGGTCCAGAGTAAAAAAACACAACAATTCAAGGTGAGAGACAAAGCACACAAAGTCTAGGTCAATGGACAGCCTAAGTCAGGGGTGTCAAAATGCCGGCCTACAGGCCGGATGGGTCACGCGGAAGCTGTGCCCACCCCATTGCTGGCAATGGCAAAACCATCCCGATACGTTGCACGACATCACGTGACACCATGAGTTTGACATGTCTGGTCTAGGTTATCTCTAACAGAGGCTTAAGCACACTGCTCTTCTTAAATAGAAATAATCCTGGTATTGCTCATTTGGGAAGGCAAAGTTCCTTTCTGGTGAGGACCCTTGTAGAACACTTTTGCTCTGCTCTCCTCTCCACACAGTGAGTTCTTGAACTGGGTGGGGAATGGCAACTCAGATGCCTCATCTTCTAAAACCAGTGACAACTGTGTCTCCTCATTACTCGGCAGCATAGCTTCCTCTGCCTGCAATTCCTGAAAGGCTAAACAACACAAGTTGATTATAATTTTGTACTGATCATAACTAATTATCCAAAATAGGGCCTGTTTCCAGGACAGAACTGTGGCCCAGGGATGCCAATGTATGGAGCAGTCTGTTCTTTCCAGCTCCAGAGATCTGCCAAAATAAGTACATGGTTTGGTCAGTGACGGTGGCCAGGGAAAAAGGTGTGGGATCCAGTGGGATAGGAAGCAGGCTCAAGGTCCATAGGGGACCTGGTTTGGTGGGGGGAAAGCAGGCCCATGACCTGCAGGGAGCTCAAGGGATGAAAAGTGGGGCATGGGATGCCTTAGAGCAGGGGTCTGCAACCTTGACAACTTTAAGACTTGTGGACTTCTGGCTGAGGAATTCTGGAAGCTGAAGTCCACAAGTCTTAAAGTTGTCAAGGTTGCAGACCCCTGCTTTAGTATGGGAAAGGCCTTGAAAGGGCTGGAGCAAATGGGCCTATGCTAGGTCTCCCAGATGTCAGGTGTGAATAATTAGACCCACACCTGAGGAGTTTAAACCAGATACTTTAATGTTGTATTACCTATTTCATAGGAATCTTCTCAGACTGGCAGTTTGCCTCTGGGAAAGACTAGATAAAGTTCAACAACATTCAAGGGCAGGGGCTGGATCTTGCCCTTTTATGTCTATGTAAAGATTCTAGACCATGGATGTCAAACTCAAACGTGTCACGTGATGTATCGTGACTTTTTTGTCTTTGTGGACTGGGGTGGGCATGGCCTGCGTGTGATGTATCCGGCCCACGGGCCGCCAGTTTGACACCCCTGTTCTAGACTAACCCCCCATTTGACCCCTCCTCCTAACTGGGCCAGTCTCTCTCCAACACCAGGGCCTCTTCCACCCAAGGCACTCTGTTCTCCACTACATTAGAGAGAGGAGGGGTGGGAATCATTAAGAGGCAATCATGTGGCAGCCTCCATTATAATCATGAGTTGTGTACTACCTATACGGTTACTTATCTTAACTGTCTTGTGTTCTTTTCCCCCATAAAATATGGTTAGGCCTAGGATTATTGATTGATAGTTGATCAATCAATCAATAATCCTAAATCACATCAAAGACATTGCACCAATCATTTATGTCTGTAGCAGGCACAACCTTTTTGGATATGAGATTTTAAACCTAGTGGTGAGCTAATAAGGAACAAGAACCAAAAGAAATTCCTTTTACTCCTTTCTGCTTCAAACCTATGGTTGCCTAACTCAGACAACTACATAGTCTTGAATCATTTAGTCCTTCATTAACAAATTTCAGAAAGTGTATACAGATGAATTATGTAAATATTAAAATGCGTCAAGATAGTGAAATAAAGCAGCTACGGAGATGAGAAATAATCCATAAGTAAAGATTAGCAATTTATGGCTATAGGCAAAATGCTATATTGTAAGACATCGGCTATGTATTCTTGCTTTCTACCCTTACCATCACTTACTGGGATTGCATGTGTATGAACATGGATGGTGTCTTTCTTTATGCCCCAACTGCCTTTGAGTAATGCTGATAGAACATCTCCCTTGGCATAGTATATCTTAAGTATTACAAGACAAATTGCACTCTGTATACAACATTTTATACTATATTGTAAGCCATCTAGAGTCATTGTGAGATGGGAAGCAATAAAATGACAGTTTTTCACCATCTACTAGTCATCAGGATTTTTGCATCCTAGGTTTGCATTTTGGAGATTTAAAATGACTTTCATATGGATATGTATATGTATGTATGTATGAAAGTAGTCATTTTAAATCTCCATATATGTATATATGTATGTATATGTATATATGTATTGAATGTTGAGCGTTGAGCAGAAAAAAAGGCACAATACATCTTTGCTTGAAGGTCATTTAACTACTGAGTACTTGGCCCAATGGGTAGCATATGTTTAGGAGGTCTGTGCATGGAAATTATCTCAGGTTTTCTAAAACCATCCTAACCGAATACCTTTCAAGATAGGAATGAGTCAGCTTGTTAGAAATACCTTCTGCAGACAGGGGGAGAAACTCTCCTCTTTTTTTTAAAAAAAATGCTGTTCCTCCTTTCTCCACCACTCCTTGGAGGGGGGGGGAAGGTGTGTAGGTGTGAATGTACACATACATTGCCAATCATGGAAGTCAGCATGGATTCAGGTAATTTCTTTTCAGCTGCATCCTCGGGAAAGTATCGGTGGAGGACAAAAACAAATCGTAGATCACGAACGATGAATGGAGGGGCGGTTTTTTTTTTGGTTTTTTTTTTTAAAACCTTCGATTTTTTTTTTTATGTGTCTTGGTTGCAACAGTTACGCGGAGCTGCAAGCTTAGTTCGCCGAAGAAGATATAGCATTGTAGCTGTAGGTGGTCAAGAAGGAGGCGATCAAGAGAAGGAGCTGGACGATCGCCCCGTTCTTTTTAAATCAATAAAAGTAAAGCGAAAGGCAAGAGAGGGTGGAGTACATGTGTGTGCACGAAGCCGATGCAGGCAGGGAGAGAGATTTGCAAGGTTACTTAAGCTTTGCGTGGCTCTCAACTGCAGTTGGCGTTTGGAGGGGAGAGTCAGAGGAGGGAGGAGAAAAATCAACCATCGGCCTCCCCCCCCCCCGCCTTTCTCTGGCAGCTCAGTCGCGGGGGAAGCCTCGAGGAAAGGGGGCTGAAGGCCAAGGAGAGGACGGGAGCCCCCCCTCCCCCTTCTCCTCTGCCCCTCCGGCTCCATTGCCTCGCAGCCCAGAGCTAGGAGAATTCCCGGCTGAGCTTCTTTTTCTCTCTCGCCTTCTCTTCCCAGCTGACAACATGGCTGCGGCCGCTTCTGCTGCCCAAGACGAGCTGAGTAAGTGTGTCTTCTGTGGGGGGGGGGGGTCCGGCGGCGGCGGAGGGGGGGAATCTCGTTCGTGCGGGACACGGTGAAAAAGAGGGTGCTCCGGCCCTGGAGTTTGAACCCTCCCGTCTTTCTTTTTAGCGGGTCAGTTTTCCAAGCTCTTGTGTGCGCCGGCCTTCCTGCCCTTCTCCTCCCTCCCCCCCGCTTGATGGGTGCTATAGGGCGACCTCGGAAACGGGGCTCGGAGGGCCGGGAGTCCTTTGCAAAAAGAAAGGCGAGGAGAGCTGATGGAGGCGGGGGGGGGGGAGAAACTGTTCATAGACGATGCAGGATCGGGGAGGGGAAGAGGGAGGGGGAGGAGGAGCCGGCCATTAGGCCTCAGTTGTTGCAGAGTCATATTAGGAAATGGGACATTAAAAGCTTTCGGAGGATGGGAAAGGGGGGACGACGCCGTCCTCCAAATTAGCCCCTTCGGTCACTGATTAAGACACACACAGAAACATCCTCCAAATTAGCCTCTTCAGTCACTGATAATACACACACACACACACACACATTCTTCCTCTCCCCCCCCTTTTTAAAGATATGGGGGTACGGGCGCGAACGTCCTTGCGAGAAGGGGGACGTGATTTGCCCCAAGTTTGTTCTACTGTCCCGAGGAAAGTATTTTATTCTCACCCCCCCCCCTTTTTTTTTTTTTTTTTCATTCGAGGGAATTCCAGATTTCATTCCTCCTCCTCCAAAGTCTGTTCCTGAATCTGGTTTGGAAAAAGTGCAAGGCCCGTCGTGACTTTGCTTTCCCCGGGGGATTAGAATCCAACCTTGGGGAAATCTTGCAGGATGGTGGGGTGGATTTTGTTTTTTGTTTTTTTTTGAGTTGGAGGGAGGGGAAGAGGAGAGCCCCTTCACTTCGTCCAGGGCCCAATTTGGCCGGTCTTTCCCAGATGCACCCCCGACCCCCCCCGCAGGGGAAAGAAGGAAAGAGGGTGTTGCAAGTGCAAGCGGGTCCTTTGGCCGCTTCAGGACGGATTTTGCCGGCTCCGTCTCGCCGTCCCTCTCGGCCTTTCGAAATGTGGTGCTCCCGCTCCCACTTCCCATTCCACATCTAAGGTATTGAGGCCTCGCTCGGCGAGGCGTGGTCTGGCCGGGAAATGCTTCTTTGTGACAGGAAATGACTATAGTCTTTGCCACTGAGGCAAGCTGGGTGTGTGTATGCATGCATGCATACATAAATTCATATACATAACACATATGTGTGCACTCACGTATAGGAGTGTGTGTGTGTGTGTGTAACATACACATGCTATTAGTTTAGTATGGGGTATTTTTAGAGCAGGCCTGTTATTTAATTTGATTTTAGACAGAAATTTGTGTATATTTATCGTGGTTTTTATTATCGCCTGTTCACCGCCCTGAGTCCCGTAAGGGAGATAGGGCGGTATATAAATTCAATAAATAATAATAATAATAATAATAATAATAATAATAAGCCCACAGGCCAGATCAAAATACAGAGTTCTAAAACACAAATGAATAAAATCCTATGAAAACAATTTAAAATGAAATTGGAGTAAAATTGGAGTAACACAATAATTTAAAATGACAGAAAATTATATTTCAGTATCACCCCTACAATCTACCCCAAACCGTTCCACGCGCTGTGCTGTGTTAAATGTTGTTTTCAGATTCCGGCTGCACATAAGGTATGTTGTTTTAATATGGAGTTCCCAATAAATGACCCAAGGTACCTGTCTCTCACCCTCTTATACAAACAACAATCATATAGTATGTGAGCCAAGTCTTCTACCTCTAGCGCTACTCAAATGCAGATACATCCGCGTAGCAGATACATCCACTATATGGTATAATATACACTTAAGAATATAGTATCAAAAATATACTAGTATGTATATATTACACACACAATATATCGAAGTATCAAAAATATGCAGTTATTTATTGCCTATATATATATCCCATAGAGTTCAAGGATAGGCTTATTAGCATACTAGGCCCCTTAATTTTATACCTACAACACAACCCTGTGAAGGAGGCTGGATTGGGAGTGGCTCATATTCATTTGTGTTCACAGGTACTTCTAATATGTAGGGAAGAGCTACTAATGAAATTATAATATTATGCAATAGTTTAGGAGAAAGTTCCATTGCGCTTGATGGAATTAAATGTTTTTGGATGAGGAACAGTTGAACTTTAATTGCAGTGTCTTTGATGCTTGGATAAGGCATCTCAGTAATGTAATAAAAGTTTTTATTTCTGCTTCTTTATTTGGAATAAATATTATCCGATCTTGAGTAATCCTTTAAAGTTGCATGATTTTGCCCCGTGCCTGAACAAAGAATGTTGAAAAATTTAGTGATATGTATGAATGCTTGACAGTAGCTTTTTCAAATCTGTTGGCCATGATTCCTAGTCAAAATCTATTCTGATTTGGAATTGTGGACATTGTAGTCCAGGCTGCCCCAATCTTTTGGGCATCAAGGCCTGGTTCTGTGGAGAAAAGTTTTTCTGTGGATTTGCGTGGATGGAGCTTCACTTATTTAGGCAGCTGGGGGTGGATGGGTTAGGGACCCTTGTTGTAATCCATTAGGGAGGAATCAGGAAGACTGGTTTGGAGAGAATGTAAGACAGCGCATCTTTGTTTGTCTCCAGAATTGTTGACAAAAACCCCACTTTTTCCCTGTCATTTAATTAGTTTAAGCAAGTGTTTAAAAATCAACATCTATTAGCCTATACTAATAAAGGATTCTAATACTGTAAAAGTATTATGGCTGTGCAAAACAGTTTTTATCTAGCCCCATCCATATAGGCTTGTGCAACTAATTTAGTACTTTGCAAGACATCAGATTACATCAAGGACCAACTGTATAACTAAGATTGAATCTGCCAAGCCAGTAAGACCATCATGTCAGAGCCTGCTCCCAGTTCCTTCACACACAGGAGGCTGTCATTTTGGCTTCTGATCCTCACGTTGTATAACTTACTTGTGGAGCTTCATATACTTTGGAAGGTGATTAAAAATATGTTTTGCCATGCTTTCAGTTTGAGTTACCTTTGTATTATTATGGTTTGTTCCACAGTTAGCCAGCTGTTCAGACTGGATTTGACATTTTTATCCACTTTCCCAAGGATCTGGGATAGGCAGATGTGTTATTACTATTACTCTGTTATACTCTTTCCAACATTATGCACTGGGCCAGGTTACAAAAACTGCAAATAAATAAAATAATTATGAATGCATCTATAGAAGCTGGTATCCCCAGTGGAACTATATCTGTTTATGTAGACGATTGAGAACAGCCAAAGTAGCTGCAAAATTCTTCTGGAGGACATGGGTGCTTTAATTGACATGCTTCAGGAAGCATCCATATCCTTTTAAAGCTTTGCACAGACCTAAAGAAGTATATATTTATATATTTTATATATTTCTATGTGAACGGTATAAAATAAACCATATCTTTGTGATATGTACAACATCCAAATAAAGTGATAATATCACTGTGCTACAGTTCTTCAGGGAACGTGAGAGATAGTGGCTTATTAAGGTAACATATTGCTGATTTCAACCACTCTACCAGATTTAATAGGACTTGATTTCTGATAAGTCTATTTTAGATTTCTTAAAGCCCTTATAAATATGATTTTTAGATTTTAAATATGACAATATTACTGTTTTAATACTTTTGAAATCTGAAATAAGGAGTAACATTTTTTTTCCTCTGCACTCAAACTGCAGTACTCTTGACTATTTCACTTCCTGTAATATATTTTACTGGGTGGATGTTTACTAGAATCTATTGAATAATATTTTTGACATCAGTAATGACAAGTTATTATAATTTCCCAATGCTCTTATGTGACCTTAATTTTTAAATTTTTTGTTCATTGTTGTCGTTTGAAAGCAAGATAGCTTTTCCTACTTTAGCAATGTCCAGACACATAACCTGTTCCTTTTTAGAAATGTACATTTTTTCTCTCTTGTGAAAAATTAAAAGGGATACAATATGTAGGTTGCTGAATTCCGGACAACTAGATGGTAGTAAAGGGAAGCAAAAAACTCTAGTGCTCTCCTGCCAATTAAATTTGAATTTTGGCAACTTACATAGGGTGTCTTTGCTTTAAGAAAACAATTTTGGAAAGACTGCAGGAATAATTACCCATTACTTCATGCATTGTGTAATTTTAAGTTATTGAGCTGCCTTACATTTTCTGTTACAATAGTCCCTTATTCCAGTGCTCTACTGTTTATACTTTTAGCTTGATCTTTGCCAAATTATGCTTGATCTTTGCCAAATATCAAGAAGCAATTATTTCAGTCTATAACTGTATGCAGTAGAGACCTAAAAAAAGAAAAGAAATATACATGCCATGCTATTTAAGATTTGGGACAATAGTAGTAGAGAAAGTCTTCTATTTTACAAATTTTATTAATTTTTCAAATAAACATATGGACAAATAATACAAATATGGTGCGTTTCATTAGAAAAACAAACACATTAAAAAGCCTACTCAGTAAGTATTCAGAAATAACCAGCGGTCCCCCCCCCTGCATCCACACTCCCTCAACCTTCCTACCTACTTCCCTCTTCCTTCCTCCCCCTCTTAACCATGACCTCTCCTCTTTCCTCCTTTCCAACTATCCTACACATCCCATCACCTTCTTTTCCACCACCTCGGATGCAGTTTAGGGGTACTGGACGATCATCTCCTCTTTTTAAAGACAAACATTTACATTATATTTATAAATACACCAAATTTTATATAATTCTACCCCTTCATCCCCTTCCCCCCTCCCCCGCCCCCGGACTTCCCAGAACTGAGTACCAGGATAAATACATAACATCCCAAGTCTAAAATAAGCTATCCATTCATAATACAAACAAAATTAACATACTTTAACTCTAACATACAATAATAAACTTATAAAAAATATATATAAATTATATTAAATATATAAAAAATATTAGAAAAGAAAAATATTTATTCAAAAGCTATATGATAATTAATCACTTCATACTTTCGTAAAGAAAATCTTTATCTCTGGATTTGTAAAGTTTGGAAACCTGGGACAACATTGGTGGGAGAAAGATATTAAACTGGGATATGAGAAGGCCTTGGGAAAAAATACTGGGGAATGATACACTTGCATTTCCCCTATTTTTCCATTTTATTCTAAGCCTATTTCTATTCAAACTATAGGTTCTTGCCATTATAGCCAGATTTTGTCATTATTCCGATGCAGGAGGAAGAGGGATATTGCATTTTGAAGTCATCCAAAGGCTTTTCTTTCTATTGATATTTATTGTTCTCTGCTCATGCATCAGTTCATGGCACTTTTCACTACAGGTAGTCCTTGACTTACAACCATTCGTTTAGCAACCGTTCAAAGTTACAGTGACACTGAAAAAGTGACCTATAACTAGTCTTCACACTTAAAACTGTTACAGCAACCCATATGATCGAAATCCACATGCTTGGCAACTGGCATGATGCCACTTCCCGGGATCATGTAGTTGTCATTTGCAACTTTTCCAAGTGGCTTCTGACAAGCAAAGTCATTGGGGGAGCTGAATTCTTCTAATGATCTCATGATTCACTTAACAACTGCAGTGATTTGTTTAACAACCATGGCAAAAATTGTAGAATTGGGTGCAAGTCATTTAACAATTGCCTTTCTTAACAACAGAAATTCTGGTCTCAGTTGTAATTGTAAGTTGTAAACTACTGTATATTACTTGTTTCGTCTGTTTATCAGATCAGTATTTTGTTCCATTTTTGAAAAATTTCCCATATTCCACTAATCCTTTATTTTGCATTTAATAGAATACATTATGATTTGTGTAAGAGAAGAAAAAAGTATGTGACCAAAAAGCAGTGTCAAATTTTTATGCTCTAAATGTGATTCAGTCTTACTTTTTCAGCAAGCCTTCACACAATGGTGCATATGTAATTTGATCATTCAGCAAACTAGAGTGATCAGATTAGAAGAAGATGGTTCTCTTTTCCCTTCACTTGAACAAAACAAAGAGTCACTAGACAGGGAGATGGGCAACATATAAATGTATTAAATAAATAAAATAATTCCCTATACTTTCTGATATTAAATAAGTGTTGCATCTGTGTGAAACACACATGATAAATTAAGCTGGCTCCTAATTTGCAGATTTTAATTTGGAGAAAGAACTAATCATTTTGTCTTCTCTGAGTATTGATAAAGGACTCCTTTTAGAACAGATAGTGATACATTAAAAATGCTTCCAAAAGAAATATATGGCATTTTTGGTATAGTATGTCTTTTGAAATCCAAAGCTATAGGTGTGGTTAGAATAAAATTCGAGTCATTACATGTGGATAACAAGGTCCATACACTTCAGTTATTTATTTCCCACCTTTATTATTTTTATGAATTACTCAAGGTGGCGAACATATTCAACATACCCTTCTGTTTTCCTCCCAACAACAACCCTGTGAGGTGGGTTGAGCTGAGAGAGAGAGAGAGAGAGAGAGAGAGAGAGAGAGAGAGAGAGAGAGAGAGCTGGGGAGAGTACTATAATCATAGAAACAATCTTGATAATAAATATATTTTAGCAATACTAAAATAGTCTTATGTTAATTGTAAATAAATCTGATCTTTAAAAATAAGGAGTTAAGGAATCAAGCCAGCAGTGTGCTATAGCGGTCAAAAAAGCCAACACAGCCCTAGGATGCATTAACAGAGGGATGGAAACTAATCAAGGAGAGAACCAACCTAGGACTAAGGAGAAATTTCCTGACAGTCAGAACAATTAATCAGCGGAATGACTTGCCTCCAGAAGTTGTGAATGCTCCATCACTGGAGGTTTTTAAGAAGAGATTGAACAACCATTTGTCTGAAATGGTATAGGGTTTCCTGCTTGAGCAGGGGGTTGGACTAGAAGACCCCCAAGATCTCTTCCAACTCTTATTATGTTATTCTGTTTGAAAATTTTCTTTAAACCATTGTTAAAAATATTTGTGCATATAAGATAGATGATGAATATAATGCCATCAGAAGAATCACATTCTAGGAAACTTGCAATAAGGTCATTAGTAAAACCAATTAAGAACTAAGCCACTATTTAATGGTGAACTTGCTGGTATGATGTTGCTGTTTGAATTGTTTGCTGTTATAGATCGGTTTTTCTTCATTTTAGATCAACTTGAACGTGTATTCTTGCGTCTTGGCCATGCAGAAACAGATGAGCAATTGCAGAATATTATATCCAAATTCCTTCCCCCTGTTCTTTTAAAGCTTTCCAGCACACAGGAAGGAGTACGTAAAAAGGTATGAATATTATTGTATGCTGAAGTCGGTCAAACACAAAGTGCTTAAAAATCCTCCCATGTTGGTTTTATATTAGATAGAGTGTCCTTTGAGATGAATTTAACTCATGGTCACTTGATGAAAACATGTAATTTTCAGTACAAAGGTGGCTGCTATTGTCTTCCATCCAGGGTGCATTTTCAGCTGCTCATTCTAATCTAGTGTTTGTGTGGTGGTCTTCTACACAAGTACTAACCAGATCAACCTTGTTTGGATGTTATGTTTCACTCAAGCTGGAAGCTGAATATCATAATAATATATTTCCTGAAGTCATTGAAAATATTGTTACCTCATAGTAATTTTTCACGTTCAGTCCAAATAATATAGTCACTTGGTTCTTTTTCTCTGTGAAAGGTCAAATGGAACGACATATAGGGCATTTGATAATACAGATATTTTTATTTATTCCACAGTTGGGAAATGAAACCTAGATCAATAAAATGAAGTTGTTTTTTTTTAGGTTATGGAATTGCTAGTTCACCTGAACAAACGAATCAAAAGTCGTCCAAAAATCCAACTTCCAGTGGAGACTTTATTAGTCCAATATCAAGATCCTTCTGCAGTCTCCTTTGTTACAGTAAGTCCTTTTTTCTTTGAGAATTTTACTCATGAATTCTAAGATTATGATTATCTTTGCACATCGAGCTTAAGTATAAGAGCTGGTTATCTCCTGCCTAGGTATTCTTTGTCCTGCTTTTGAATAATAAACCTACTGTATAAACAGCAGATAAAGAGAAGGATGGTTTGTTGACTTGTAGCTGCTGGGAAGTGCTTTCCTAAATGTAACCCTTGAACACTTCAACTGTTTTAATGAATATTTATATATATGAAACTACATCCTATTGTCATATTTAAAGAGTCCATTGAAATGGATATGATTAACAATTAGGAAATGTTCTGGTTAACAAGTTGATGTCATTGCTCTGTCCTTGCAGTTTAAGTTTACACATAACATATGACAACAAAGACATTGTGGCTTTACTGAGAATTGGTAGAGTTAAACAGTAATGTTAGGATTATAGATTGCCACCACACTAACTTGGTTCATGTATGCTAAATTATAATTTGTATAATTTTGGTGTAATGTATGTGAACTGCACTATTACCCACTTGGTTCACACATCACCCTAAGCCACGGGTGTAAAACTTGCAATGTCACCTGATGTGTCGCGGCATATCGTGACTTTTTCCCCATTGCTGGCAATGGGGTGGGTGTGGTTTTAGCGTGATGCATCCAGCCCGTGGGCCGGCAGTTTGACACCCCTGCTCTAAGCCATAGATAATTATATAAAAGCGGGTTGAACTGCCCCAAAGTCTTTACCATTGAAAATCGGTTTTTCTCAAATTGCACAGGAAATATATACATATTCAGATAGAGATGTATGCAGATAGTGTAATTTTTAGTGGACGTTTAGGTGAGGATAATCCTTTAGTACATGTTTTTAGATTTATCATCTGATCCATTTCAATGACAAAGTCCTTATTCCTTTTCCTTTTTTAAAAATATCTAGGTAAAGTTTTAACACACTAGTGCAGTATGTAGTTACGGATGCTTATACATGAACTGAAATACACATTTTGACCCGTTAATAACAGCTGCTTTTAGGTGGCACTAGAACAGTGATGGTGAATCTTTTAGACACCGAGTGCCCAAACCGCAACCCAAAACCCACTTATTTATCACAAAGTGCCAGGGGCCCATCAGCATTGTGGTGCCCTCGGGGGGGCACACAAAAACAAGGGGCGCAAAAACGGCCACCGCCGTGCCGTGGGGTGCAGATACAAGGTGCTGCACCAAGCAAGAATGGGGCAGGGCTAGTGAGTATCATGCAGGCACTAGCCCCGCCTCATTTGCAGTGCGTGCATACTTGCGGCCCCGTGCGCGCAGGCGCACATGTAAAATACTTCCCCCTCCCTTTTCTTCCAGTCCATCAATTGACAATGGTTGGTGACTTCTGCTCTACCACCTCTACTTGACTTGCTAGTCGGCCACTTCGCCTCCTTTGTGCTGGGCGGGGCTCCTGCTCTGGGCGGTGGTGGCGGCCTGATGGACCTGCTACTGGCGGCGGCACGCGTGCCAACAGAGAGGGCTCTGAGTGCCGCCTCTGGCATGCGTGCCATATGTTTGCCACCACTGCACTAGAACTTTCTCAGATAATTGCTACGATGAAGTGTCTTGATTTAATGGTCCACATCAGTAAGGCCATAATTGGTTGGAGTCAGAAACCTGGGGATAATGCAATCACTAGAATGCAGGCGTAAGAGGCTCCTAGTATGAGGAAGATTTTTTATTGTATATGCATTCCCCATGTCAACTGTAAAAAAAATCAGACGGAGTCTGGTAGCACATTTTCTCAGTAACACATTTAATTCAAAGGAATAACTTTTGGTGAGCTGCCGTTTATGGTTTTTAATAAAACTCCTACCATGTCAGTAGTATTTCTCAAAGTTATCAAAGTAATTGAGGTTGTGGGATTTTGGGGTGAGCTGGACTACTTGAACAATGTAAACATTTCAGTGGTATTTATCAATGATTTTTTAAGCCATAAGTTTCTTAACATTTGTGGATATTGTACTGTAGAGCTGTTTTTTGTAGTGGTTCTTTTCAGACATATCTTGCATTTTACAGAATTTTACAATAATATATGTTAAGATGGGTTACCCTCGTTTGCCTGTGGAAAAGCAATGTGAATTGGCACCCACTCTCCTTACTGCAATGGAAGGAAAACCTCAACCCCAACAAGACAGGTATAATATTCTGATCATAAAGCTTTCATTGCCTTTTTTTCTTTAAAGTCATTCCTTTTAATAAATTAGTCTTTAAAGACTGCAAATACATGTTCGGAGAAATTATGACATAGTTTCCTTCTGTTACTTTGTGTCAGCATGACAAGGCAAATTCCACAGGGAGACTACTAGACTACTACTTATTGAGCTAGGCCAGGGGTAGGCAACCTTGGCTCTTTTATGACTCGTGAACTTCAATTCCCAGAATTCCTGAGCCAGCCATGCTGACTCAGAAATTCTGGGAGTTGAAGTCCACGAGTCATAAAAGAGCCGAGGTTGCCTACCCCTGAGCTAGGCTATAATAATAGAAATTTGCCCGTCTGATTGAGCTGAACCTCCATTCCTTAAATCCCAATGAATCAGGGATTTGTTTCAGCCATCTTTCCTAGGCAACGGTTATATTTTAAATATCTTGCTTTTTTTGCCATCCAACATTTTGAAATTCAGATAAATCTTAATTTTTGGATCTTAATTCTTGGATCCAACCTACTTTACATTTAAAGATTCAGTTTAACTTATCTCAGTGCAATTTGAATGATACAGTTCCATTTGGAATTAGCTACTAAATATGAAAGAAAAGAAAGTGGTTTCATGAAAACCATGAAGTTATGTTATCTTTCTTGTCTGCAATGCCCAGTTAAATCTTTTAAAAATGCAAATAGCAATAAATGAAAACGATTATGAATTTTAGACAGATTCTTACATATAATTGCAATATATACAATTGTTTTGCAGCCTAATGCATCTTCTAATACCAACACTTTTTAACATGAAATATCCTGTTGAACCTCTGAAAGCAGCTTCTCCATTTAATCTTGCTGAAAAACCAAAGACTGTACAACTGCTGTTGGATTTTATGTTGGATGTTCTCCTTATGCCTTATGGGTAAGTAATGATGAAGTTTATCAGGTGATAGGTACTACTAGGATTAGTAAGAGAGAGGGAAGACTCTCATTTTTAAAGTGATATTCTGCCATTCTCTAGATGGTACTTTGTTTTTATTGTTTTTAATGAAAATCATATTTTTGCCTCAGATCATTTAAAAGTCCATAGGCAGGTGAGTGAGTGCAGATTGTAAAGGTACCATAATCACAGGGAAATTGCTAGAAGCATTGAGTTTCTTACCCAGATATTTGTTAGCTTTTGAGCAGGATTCACATATCACATTAAATTCTAATGTGGTTTGTTTGGTTTTGGCTTACTTTCTCATCCTTCATTGAGGGAAAGCTTGTGTAATGCAAAATTACTGTGATTGACATAATTGACAAGCCATTGATAGATAGTCCTTGACTTAATAATTAAATCTCATGCCTGATCTGTCACGTGCATAAGCTAAAACAAAAATTAAAATCTTTGCAAGTACTTCATTAATGTACAAATGATCCAACAGTCTTGTAAACGTCCTCAAATCTTAGGAGTCAGCAGAATTTTTTATCAGTTTGCTATGTATGAAGGCCCACAAATTTAATTGACAGAAATTAATACTGATCAAATTAACAGTCTAATTAAAACCTATTCTGTCTAGATGCTTTTATCTGTCTTTGGAAATGGATTCTATTATACATGTGTCCTGATTAACTAATGTGATTATTTATATAATTTTTAAAATTGTTATGTTTTGTTATATTACGCTATGGCCCACCTTTATTATTATTTTTAAATAACTTAAGATGGCAAACATATCCAACACACTTTCCTCCTCCTATTTTCTCCACAAGAGCAACTCTGTGAGATGAGTTGGCCTGAGAGAGAATGACCGGCCCAAGGTCACCTAGCTGGATTTCATGGCTAAGGCAGGACTAGAACTTACAGTCTCTGGCTTTCTAGCCTAGTCCTTTACCCACTAGACCAAAATGGCTCTCTAGATTATTTTTTATTTTATTTTAGAAATGTATAATCTAAGGCAAGGGTCTTCAAACTGGGCCCTTTTATGACTTGTGGACTTCAATTTCCAGAATTCCTCAGCCAGGCACATTGGCTAAGGAATTCTGGGAGTTGAAGTCCACAAGTCATAAAAGGGCCAAGTTTGAAGACCCCTGATCTAAGGCGTCAGAGCTATATATGGTTCCTGACAGCTTTGGATAAGGCCTCCAGAATACCTCCAAAACTGATAAAATAACATTTTTAATGTGATAGAAAAATAATTCTTTTATTTTAATATTCTGCTTTTTCAAGTCCAATTTTTGTTTCTGTAACTGAGATTATGGCTGGATTTTTCAGACTGACATAATTTAAGCTGTGCAGAGCTCACCATTTCTAATAGAGAATTTCATAAACTTTCCCTCCTCTTCTTCTAGATATGTATTAAATGAATCCCAGAGTCGCCAAGCTGTTCCAGGGGGACAGGGTTCCTCTTCATCAAGTACTTCTGGAGGTTCTGGGATCCCTCAGCCTCCTCCGGGAATGAGCTTTTATGCAGCTAAGCGGGTTATTGGAGATAGTCCATGGACACCTGAGCAGCTGGAACAGGTAAAAGCCAAATAATTATACCTAATGGGTGGGGGTGGGAGTAGCTTAATTATAATAAGTTAACCAAACATAATGTATATTATCTTGTGGACTTTTATTTGTCCCTAGCTGTTTTCATGCATACTCCAATTAAGTTATTTATAATGAAATCCATCTTGATTGGACTGTTAACTGTAAATAAAATACAGAATATAAAACAAAAAGTAAAAAAAGCAGCAAAACTGAGTAGCATCAGCATACAATGGTACTCCATTCCAAAACTGAACAATGTAATTTTATGTACATGATAAACAGCATGGGGACAAGATGGAAACCTATGGATCTTTATGAGTCATCTACCTGTGAGTTGACTAATAATCTCCTGAAACTATTATTCTGGCTATAATCTGACACGAACAGCCAAAATCACTGCAGCAGACCTTCTCAGTGGCCAGTTCCAACAGATGACCTAAAATTATTGAGAAATCCAGGAAAACTAGCAGAATGTAAATGTTCCAATTTGCTTCATAGCATAGGTCATTCGGCAGCGTTCATCTAGTGTTATCCACGTGTGTTTGGAAATGGAAAGGCTACCACCTTTACAGTCATCTTTCTTGGAAATGGAATTTTGACTTTTCTGTGTGATTAGATAGTACATCTGAAATCTACACTGCTCGTATTGTTAATTATAAAAGCAACAGTTGGAAAATAGCAGCTGTTGACTCTCATGGGGCAAGCACTGTCTTCCATATAGATTTTGCTGTGAAAGGAAAAAAAATGTAAAATGTTTGCTCATCTGATCATTTGGAACAGCACCACCACCAAATTTAACATTACCTGTCGTATTTTTATGGGAATGAGAGGTATTTTGGAGGGTATCTTTTTAAATTTTTGAAACCACTTCGGTGGGATGGTAACGGCATTCTGTGCGCGTATAGTCATATATTGGCGTATAGTCATGCTGGCTACATGACCAGAGAAAGGGTCTTCAGACAATGCTGGTTCCCTCAGCTAAGAAACGGAGATGAGCACCCTAGAGTCGACATAGGGACAGGAGAAACCTTTACCTTTACCTTTAAATGACTGAAATTCCTGACCTTTCACAAATGGTTGGATCAGAATTCGCATTATGGCTCTCTATTGCTTAGATCAGGGGTCTTCAAACTTGGCTCTTTTATGACTTGTGGACTTCAACTCCCAGAATTCCTCAGCCAGCGTGCCTGGCTGAGGAATTCTGGGAGTTGAAGTCCACAAGTCATAAAAGGGCCAAGTTTGAAGACCCCTGGCTTAGATTGACTGGTGGTGTTGGGAATTGCCCTTTTCTAATGTATTGAGCCTCATAATTTCCCCGTCTCTGCTTTAAGGCAAAGCCTTTTGTTATTTATCCAGTTCTACCACTCTATATAATTACAATAAAAGTATACTTTTTACAGACAACGCCTGTGATTGTACTGAACAACTTCTTCTTCTTTTTTTGCTTTGTTGGGCAGTGTAAATTGGGTATTGTAAAGTTCATTGAAGCTGAGCAGGTGCCTGAACTTGAAGCTGTCATACATTTGGTTATTGCCTCTAGTGATACACGGCACAGTGTAGCCACTGCAGCAGATCTTGAACTCAAAAGCAAGCAAAGGTAATGGGTTAAAATGTGAAGATTTTTAAAAAAAACAAAAGTGATGGTTTACTATGAATTTAAAAAATAAGGTTGGTTTTGTTTAATGCAAAATTATTTTTTTTATCACAATGGCATACATTTGGAATTGCATTTGATAAGATGTAGACATCTCTACATTTGACTACAATGATAGCAGCCCTTCATTTGTTCTTTTAAAAAACCTGCTTTTTAGCAGGTAATTATTATCATTAGACAGATTTCATGCATATGGCCACGTAGCTTCTAGTAGTTTGGGGAATCTTTAAAAGACCAGTGTTTACATTAATATTAATCTTTTTAACAATTTTTCATTTTATATGAAGCAAAGTCTTTAAATAGTGTAGTGACTTTACTTAATCACATTGTAGGGTTTCAGAATTGGATATGTCATAATTTTACGACATAAACAGGTACAGCATTAATTTAAATGTCCCTGTTCTTAGTATTTTATGAAATCATTGAAGACATAAGCTAGGAAAGACCTAAATTACTAGTTCCTGCAAATTCCTGGTAACTAATGGTGCTTTATAAGAGTACAGGAGTGTTTCTTGGTATGGTGATTAAAATAAAAATGGATTTTAAAGATGAAGTGAGAACAGAAACATTGTAAGGTACAGATATTTTTTAAAAAGTTAATTCTGAGATCCAATCACATGTTATTTTCAAAGAAGCAAATGAACAGCAGTTGCCGCTAATTCCAATACAGGTAGTCCTCACTTAATGTCCATTCATTTAGCAACTGAAGTTATGACAGTGCTGAATGAAGGGGTTTATGACTAGCCCTTGAAGTTCCTTCCATTGCAGTATCCCTGCAGTCACATGAGCAAAATGTGGCCCCATGTTTTGTCAAGGCTGCCTGTTGTTTGCTGCCAGGAGCTTCTGCTTTTTAGTCCTGTTCTCCCCACCCCCAATATCTCCTGAAATGCATGCCAGCATGTGTACTAGCTGGAGCCTCCTTTCACATTGCCTTCTTTTGCACCAGTTTGGCTAGGGCAGGGGTAGGCAACCTTGGCTCTTCTATGACTCGTGGACTTCAACTCCCAGAATTCCTGAGCTAGCCATGCTGGCTCAGGAATTCTGGGAGTTGAAGTCCACGAGTCATAGAAGAGCCAAGGTTGCCTACCCCTGGGCTAGGGCTTCACTCATGCCCTGACCAAGGCCTCAATTAATGGTCAGCCAGGGCTTCTGATTTATGTTTCAGCCAGGGCTTCCATTCACATGCCAGGCAAGGCCTCTATTTGTGCTCCATCCAGGGCAGTGATGGCGAACCTTTTAGAGACCGAGTGCCCAAACTGCAACCCAAAACCCACTTATTTATCGCTGGGTGCCAGAGATCCAGGGGGTCTCTGGCAGGTGGGGTGGTGGGCAGGAGGCTCGTCCTGCGGGGTGAGGCAAGGCCAGGCCAGGCGAGGCAGGGCGGGGGTGCCATTGTCACAAGGAAAGGTGAGGCAGGGGCCGGAGCGGCTGCTGCCTGACACCATTGGCCCCTGCACACAGAGGCCAGCAAGCGCATGGGTGCTGGGATGCATCCAGCCATGTGCGACCTCGGCGAGTTAGTGGGCGGCTGGTTGAAGAGGGACAGTTGCCATCTCCGGGGCATGGCATGTGTGCCTGCAGAGAGGGCTCTGAGTGCCGCCTCTGGCACGCGTGCCATAGGTTCGCCACCACTGATCCAGGGTCTTATTTTGTGACAGAAGCCCGGCATGTGAAAGAAAGCCCCAGTTGCATGCCATAATTTTAGCCAGATCCTTCTTTTGCATTGGCATAAAAGAAGGAAGGAAAGAAGAAAGCTGCACTGACACAGCAGAAAGTGGTGTGAAACAAGGTCCTAGCTGGTACAGTAGTGGTGTGGGGGTTGCAGATATGGCAGGCAGGGCTGGGGTAGTGGGGACAGCTGATGGTAGCAAAAAGCAGGTGGCCAAATGAGTCCCAAAGGTGTTTTTCCAAAAGGCAACTGGACTTTCTTGGTATTTTCTTTGAAAATGTTTTGCTTCTCATCCAAGAAGCTTCTTCAGTTCTGAAGAACTTCTTGGAGGAAAAGTGAAACATTTTCAAGGAAAAAAGCCAAGAAAGTCAGTTGCCTTTTGGAGAAGCACTTTTAGGACAACCATAACCTGGACGATTGAGAATCTCCATAGACAGGCTTAACTGAGACCCAGTAAGTTTTCATTTGGGGGACTCAATTACTGAAAATACAAAATATGGGAGAAAAAAATGAATTTTGGCAATCAATTTGATCTTTTAGTAAATTCCTTCTCCCTCCCTTTCTCCCTTAGTTTAATTGACTGGAATAACCCAGTCATCATCAACAAGCTGTACAAAGTATACCTTGGGGATATACCACTAAAAACTAAGGAGGTAAGAATTGCTTATCTAAATCTGTGTTCCTTCTCATTTTCTATTTTTGCAGTTTATGTATCATTTGGTATTACATATTGTATAATATGGATTATTTGCTGTTGTAGTGAATATCATTTTAAGAGTTAACTCACATTCACATTTTTCCTGCTCTTTCATTAACCTAGAAGTAAAGGAAGAAAAATGTTTTCTAGAAAAAAAGAGCTGCTGTTCCTTATTCCAGGCAACAGGGTATAGGTAGTCCTTGAGTTATAACTGTAATGGATCCCCCCCATTATGTTTGTAAGTTGCGACAGTCATAAAGTGGCTATTTTACTACTTTTTTAATGGTTGCAAACAATCATAAATGCAAGCTGGTTGCTGAGTGGCCAAAATGCAGGTATAGGACTTGGGGGGGGGAGTGGGACCTCACCATTAGAACTTTGAACCCTGGTCATAAGTACCTTCCAGGGAGGTCCACATCGTAATTTTGAACAGTTGCTACACAACCAATCCTAAGCTGAGAACAACCTGCATCTTAAAATAAAACAAACCACGATAAAACTATACTTACAGCAGAAAGATAAAATTTGAGTCCAAACTAAGATCCAATAGAAAAGAATACTATGAGTTGTTTTTGAAACTTAATGTTTCTGAGAGTTTTATTGCCTCAGTGCTACAGTGGAAAAGGCTATATACCTATCTTGACCACATTATTGCTAGACATCCACATTTCTTTAAGATTCTTAATGTGCCCACTGGCTCCAAAATGGATCCAGGATTCTTACCCTGCATCAATACTTCCACTGAAAACTTGTCTCTTCCACTACAAAATTGAAATATTATAGGCAGCCCTTTTTATCTGTTCTCAGTGCATGCCTAAAGGTTTTCATCTATGTTTGGTCCTTTTTTTTTTTGTTACAGGGGTATATATGCAATACAACTTGGTTATATTGCACTAGGCTAGGCTGTACACGGTTTGTCATGGGAGCTGGCCTTGAGTGACATATTCAGCTGGTGGTGGCCTGTTTGTATCATATTGCTTATACTGACTCAATGCAACTCTTTCATGATCTTAGTGGAGGGACATTTTAATACTGCAGGTGAATGTTAGTTCTGCCACAGATACAGCTTATGCTTACCTCTTAATCACCCTGCTGGTTATTAGTACTTCCTCCAGAGAGCTGAATGCAATATATTGCACCCATGGATATTAGTGCTGCCTTCAGATTGTTTGTAGAGATTAGAGCCAGGTACAAATCATCTGCAAACAGAGTAATATCCAGAGATGCAGTGAGGTGGACCCTCCAGCAAGATTATTGAATAGCCATGCAAAGCAGAAGAGTCCCAAAAGCCATATATTAAAAGAGGGCAGTTCCCTCCATTAATCACTGAGAGAGTGGCTCAAAAGCTAGCTGTTGCAAAGAAGCTGCTTGGAGCCTTGCAGCTGGACTAACTCAGAGATCTTTTATAAATGAACAGTGAAAAAGAGAAATCCAGCTATATTGTGCAGATGAAGACAATGGTTATAGGCTTTGGGACCTAATCCTCCAGTTCCCATAAATGGGAACTCATCTCATTATTTCAGGTTTTGTTGTTCAGTTTTATGCTGGATCAGAACCTCTACAAATAATGAGGGTCAGTGCTATTTTTGTAAAAAAACAAAAACAAGGTGCCGGAACTCAACATCATACAACCCGCCTTGCCTACCCTACAAGGTTCCACCCAAAAAAGGTGCCAGAACTCCGTTCTGGGCGTTCTATGAGGAAAAAAAGCCCTGATGAGGGTTATCTATAATTCTAACACTTGGAAAAGATGCAGATGGTTGAAGGCATTTCAGGTAAATGCTTTCTTCACGCTTCCAAGCATCATTTGGAGATCAAACTCAAAGTGTTGGATAACCTGGATGTATAGTTTCTCATCTTGGATAATTGCCCTGTCATATTGGTAGCAGATCTTGGCTTTCTTCGAATGTATTTGTAGTTCTCCACTGGGTGCAGTGTAGGGGGCACCACTGGATGCACTTACAGGGACGCAATGGCATATTTTACTGCCTAATAACTGGAGCTATCTTAATTGTCTCCTTGATTCCATGGTGCACAGTTTGGGAACTGCTAGGGGCAGTCTGAACCAAGAACATTTGGGAACCTTCGGGGTACACTGAGTTATATCTTATTTTGTACTAATCTCAGTACTTTTTCATTTTTTTGTAACTTATACAGTTCCAGTCCTTTCAAATATTGTGGTTATATGTACATTGTCAGCCTGGTCAATGACCATAATAAAGGTTTGATATGTACACTGTGATTGCTTTCCTGAATGATTTAGGTTTTTTTCTAGTCACTTTATGTTTTGAAATATTCATTTCTTTATAACAGGGAGCTGTTCTGAAACCAGAACTGAAACGTGATCCTGTCAGTACTCGGGTGAAGTTAAAGATTGTCCCTCATCTTTTGCGTTCCAGGCAAGCTGCAGAAACATTTCCTGCAAATATTCAGGTACCTTTTTAAAAAAATCTGTCTCATAGCACTATATTTCTTAGTGAATTCAGTATTTAACAATGTGCTTGTAACCCACTTCCCTACATGAGGGGTGAGTATTCTGCAGTTCATGCACACAGATAAACCTTGCTTACCAACTGTTTTATGCAGTAATGTTTGAAGTTAGGTGCAAAAAAACCCACCCCAGCTTGGCTACCAATCCTCATTTATCCTTACAGTCACATGATTGCCATTTGCATGCTTTCCAATGGGCTTGTGACCAGCAGAGTTAAGGAAGAACATAGAATTAAAGTCCTGAATTGCAGTCACACAGTGATTTGCTTAACAACCAAATAGGAATTACCATTGTAACCCCATTGCGGTCATGTGATTTCCATTTAGCAACCCTGGTTTGCGATAGCTGAGCAAGGATTAGTTGTATCTTTAGGATCTTATTTATATTTTTTTAAAAATATTTATTTTTTTAAATAAATTAAATTAAATTAAATTAAACTTATTTGAGATGCAAAGGAGTTTTGACATTACCCTCATTATTTGAAATAATATTTCTCCTGAGATTTTATTCATTTTTTTTTCAAGGTTGTCTATGATGGGCTTTTTGGTGCAAATGCCAATGCTAAACTGAGAACTCTGTCTCTTCAATTTGTGCATCATATTTGTGTGATGTAAGTATTTTTATGTCATGATTTTTTTTCTTGACAAGGTTTTCTTAAAGATGTGGTTTGCCATTGTCTCCTTACTGTGGCTGGGAGAAAGTAACTGGCTCAAAGTCACAGAGCTAGCTTAGTGCCTGTGGTGAGACTAGAACTCACCATCTCCCAGTTTCTAGCCAGATGCCTCAGCTACTACACCAAACTAGCTGTCCTATAACATCATATGTACAATTGAAACTGAGATTATGATTCTGCTGTTAAGTAATTTGATGTGAATACAACATAAATTTTAGTGATATATTTCAAGAAAGATGCATTATTATTATCATTATCATCATCATCATCATTATTATTATTGATGATCATCGCACAGTCAGCCAGATGTTCAGACTGGATTTGGCATTTTTGTCTACCTATCGAGTCCTTACCAAGGACCTGGGATAGGCAGATGTGGATGTTTCATGGTATTACAGATATCTTCGCAGGATGGAAGCAGTTCCATCATCATCATCATCATCATCATCATCATCATCATCATCATTATTATTATTATTATTATTATTATTATCATGATTATTATTATCATCATCATCATCATCATAACCAGCAGTTTTGTCCTATCATACTTGGCGTAGTTGTTAAGGCATCTAGCTAGAAATTGGGAGATGGTGAGTTTTCTGAAAAAAGTTTTCATTATCTGCCCAAAGAGGAACATTGCCATAAAGAGTGGACCTGGGCATTTTATGGCTGCAGACTACATTTGGCCCTTTGGCTGTCCCTGTGTGGCCTGCAACATCGGGGTGGCATCAGCAGTGGCAGGAGTGAGGCGGCGGTGGCAGCCTTCCATCACAGTCCATGTTTCTCATGTGGCCCTTTGACCACTCCTGATACAGAGGCATCCTTTGAAAAGAATTTTTAAGATGATCTTACATATGAAGGACAACTCTTATTATTAAGGTTTTTTGCTTGTTACATCATTACTTTTTTCATATATTGAATTTTAGTTGCCCTGACAGCAAGATAAAACCATTAGGCCCGATGCTTTTGAATGGACTGACAAAACTGATAAATGAATATAAAGAGGTAAGTTCAAAGGGAGCCTTATAAAGAATCTTATTTATTTGTGGAACTTGGAATGTTAAATGTTCTTATTACTTGCACTTGATTTTTTTCTAAAGAACTAATCTCTGTGGTGTACTAGTAGTGTAGCTGGTTGTAAGAAAGCCAATGAGGTTTAACATGCCATTACTGTATTTGGATTACTGAATGCTGATTTAATCAGCCAGGATATTCACTTGGTATATCTTTATATCTGTTGAAATTTTGTTTCATTCTTTTGTTGGTGCATGTGGGAAAACACACTGATAAACTGTGGTCATGATTAAAGCTTCTTGTTTGAATAAAACCACTGCTTCCTGGCTTGTTCCCTTGTGCAGATGGAGGAAAGTAATTTCATGTCAGTATATGAGTTTCTTCCAGTCCTAGATTGATAAGTAATTTTCCAGTCCCAGTAATGTTGCATTGTTTTTTTTCCACCAAAAAGCACTGAATTTTATCCAGTGCTTAGAGCTGGCCACTCTGGTTTTCTCCCCTTAGTAAATTTGAAACTGATCAGGATGTGCTGACACTTCCTTCTTATGAGTCTTTGTGGCTTAAATTCTTTCATTGTTCAATACTTTAATTTCTTGTTAGAAGCAGATTGCGAAATGTTTGAAGAGTTGTCCATTGAACAGCTAAAAGCTTATTTGTTCTATTAAGAATCCTTATGGCTGTTGTGCATGTTTAATGCTTAAGGCATTCATAGAGTCAGGGCTTTTTTTGTCATAGAATGCTCAGAACGGAGTTCCGGCACCTTTTATGGATGGAACCTTGTAGGGTAGGGAAGGCGGGTTGTATGACATGTGTGAGTTCCGGCACTTTTTTTTTTTTTTTACAAAAAAAGCACTGCATAGAGTATTCAGTTGCAAGGATAACTTTTTTCCCTATTATGTATCAGCAGAGGAAGCTATGCCAGAGCAAATCCAAAGTATATTTGGGTGTAATGTTCTTCAGTTCCTATCCAGGAGGCATTGGTTAATGAACTAATAGATATAAAATCTCCCAACTGTGTGTCTTGAAATATTCTAGAGTCAATTTGACATTCAGAAAGGCAGTAAAAGCAGGTTAAGATAATAATGGGCATATATCTAGCTAGGAAACAATATTGTACTTTTTTGCCTTGCTCATTAGATATACCAATATAATACTCAGCATTCCAAGAGGTTGACCCACACGTATATTGTTATAACATTGAATATAAAGTGTATTCATGTAAAAATTTATCCTAGGTACATCAAAATTGTTGTTGATTTTCCAGATTATATCTGCACCTGTGTTGCACAAATCTACACTTCCAATTATTTCTCTAAGGCATTGACACAATGTCTATCTTCATGTGCAGTTTTGCACTTCCCGCTCTGTTCTTTGACAGAAGTCAGAGGTAGTTTTAGTGCTATGTGATGCAGTTATTTTTGTTATGTATGCAGAACACAATTCCATCCATTTAACAGTAATAAACAGGCCTGTTCGAAAAGATTATTCAATGTTTAGAATATTTTGTTTCTGCAAAACATATTTTAGGGTGAATACAGATCAAACAACAGAAACTCATAATTGTCAGGATAAACATGAATGTATATTGTCCCTTTCATGGCTCTTTGCTTATCTCACAGTTGTTCTGTTTTGTTTTGTTTTAAATAATTGAAGGATCCCAAACTGCTTTCAATGGCCTATTCTGCTGTTGGAAAACTTTCCAGGTAACAAAATTGCATTTATGCATTTACACTGGTGAGACTGTTGGTTGATTGTTTTAAAACTATTGTTACTCTGTCAACAAGCAAGCAGATGCTATCTTTTGACAGTTCTGGAATTTCAAGTTAAACATGTGGGGAGGTGAATGCTAGAAATAATCCATTTTTAAGAAAAGGAGGAAGCAAATTGAAATGGATTCTTGTCTACATTGCTTAAGTGGTACACATTTAAATTTAATTGGAGTAAAGATAGTACCATCATGCTAAAGAATTCCAAATATAAAATCTATCCTTAAAAAGGCCTATCAAAATTGAGCTCCTTATATTCTTTTTTAAAACTGTTTTTGCTCGGTGTTAGGAAAAGTAGAAATCTTCACAGCAATCATTCATTTGGCTGATCTCAGAGAGTTAACCAGGATCATATGTTATTAAGTATTGAATAGTAATGCACAAGAATGTCCATGTGGTCACCAAGCCTCAAACTGAGCTTCGGGGAGCCTTTAAGGAGGGGCAGCCCATGAAGGTCTATTATATATGTGCAAATAAAAAGGTATTAGCATCTGACAGTGATCTCAGACTTTATTCTGTTTGAGAGCTAATAGTGCAAAAAGGGTGAAGAATTAAAGAGAGAGAGCTACTAAATTCTCATCCATATCTGCAATCCTAAACAATCTCACTATAATATAAACACAATGGGATGCATTTCTAAGCAAACATGTTTAGGATCGCAGAGCGTGACAAGTGGCTATCTGTCAGTTTTATGTTGAAATCCTAGGTTTATTTATCAATGTATCACTACAGATAATTATACGATCTGACTCCCACTTAAGGGAAAACTGGCTCTGTAGGAAAACTCCCTCTGGCTCAGTCGTTCTCCTGACTGAAGAATCCATTGTACTCTTTAATTCAGTCTTTCCCATGGATTTCAAACTCCCATTTATTTCCTATCATTTTTCACTTATTGTGAGCATTGTTATTTTAAACATTTCATTGATCAAAACTGGGTTTAACTATTTAATCGTTACTAATAGTTTTTATCTTAAGTGCAGTACAATACGGTGTAAACAACAAAACAGAATAAAAATCCATGTAAACATTTAATCTCAATACTACCATACTTTTATTAGCATGTTAAGGACCTTTTTAAATCTTAGGGTATCAAATCCAAATATAATTGAAGGGGGGGAATGGATTCCATAGAGTAAGGGCTAGATGGGGAAAAGCTCTGAAATGGGAGGTGGCCATTGCAACATCAGGAAAAAGTAGGAGATGCTGATTGCGTGCATGAGCCAAGAACATAGCAGCATGAACTTTAGAAGGTCAGTGCCAGTAATTTTAATTGGTAATGTTTCTAAATCCTAATCATTCAACAGAAGAAATAGGAGTGAATCAGAAAACAATTGATTATTACTTCAATCACATGTGGTATTTAACATTTTGAAACCCAGTATTGACTGTGTTAACATAAATAGTAATCTCAAAAATGTAAGACATAAATAAATAGAAGTTAATAATTCTGGGACACTTTACAAATTTCCATTAGAATGAACTAAGTAGAACTAAGTAGTACATGAGAAATACTGTTTGATAAAATGTCTAGTTAGTACGTTAACTGAAATTCCTGCTTTGTTTCAAATAAAGTCCTTTTAAAATTATTTTTTTTCCCAGCCGAATACCTCAATTGTTTACCAAGGATCTTGCACTGGTCCAACAATTTTTTGAAGCTCTTTCTAAGGTTGGTGACTTTATTTTTTATTTTACCAAAGAATTAGTTTATCTAGAATTTTTTTTTCTTATTTGTGGGATGCTTATTAGATATCTAATAATACCTAGATATCATTTCAGGAAGAACCTGATACCAGACTAGCTATTCAGGAAGCTCTGTCCATGATGGTTGGTGCATACACCAGTTTAGAAGGAGCCCCTCGTACTCTTATGGAGGCACTTGTAGCCTCTAACCTAATCAAGGTAAGTCACCAGGATATGGAAGAAGTGTGAAAACCTGGGCTTATTTTCCCTTAATCCCTTGTACATAAGAATGATTATACTAATTTATGATATGCAATTAGGAGAAGAAAAAAATATCTTACTTCTTCTCTCTCGGGCCTGATCTCCATTCCTTGTTTCTTCATGATCTATATACATAATGCATGCATGCCTACATATAGTACATACATACATATCTTTTTTTTTTGAGTGTCTTCAAATTGTGCCTGTCCTTTTGAATATCAGTTTGCATCTCTCTTTTTTATCCTCGATATTTCTTTATAATAGACACAAACACAGGGAAAAAGTATAGAATGTCTCAAATTCTTGTGACAAGTTGATCTCATGATAGCCAAGAGCGATAATTCCTCTGCAAAATGATTGTGCCTGCAATGTTATTTAAAGATGGCAAATCTTCCTAGTTCCTCCCAAAATATTGCTCATCCTTAATATTACCTTTCAGATGTGTTGGTTTATATTTTTTAGAATTTCCAGGCAATATAGAAATTTCAGCTGAAAATTTTGGGGATTATAGTCCAGTGCATTTAGAAGGAATCAGGTTGCCTAAAATGTATATATGATCAATATACTTTTTTATTATGGAACTTCCATTCCACTTTAATACTTGCATATGATGTGACCTTGACAGATGTATGCAAAACGGAGTAAATGGAGCCACAAATAATGCCAATTGACCGTATACAGGCAATATTTAATCTGTGCAATATTTTGTTAAAGACTACTTTTAGAACTACATATAAAGCAAGTATAGGCACATCTTTAACCCTTCAATTATATCTTGGAAACTTAAACATTTTATGGCAGACATAAGATGCTATATTGTGTTTCACATTTCGTTGCATCACAGCTATAATTACTGACTGTGCTTGCTTTTGCTGCACCAAGGGAGCAGTAAAAATAATGATTTGTGCTGTTTCAAATATTAAGAAATGTTGATTCCTGATAAACAATCTTAAATGATCTATTCTCTGCCAGTAAACTATGCATGAGCAGTTATTTATTGTTTGTTTACAAATATATCTATTCATATTATTTTGTATAATTACAATATATAATTAATGCCTAAGTCATTAGAGGAAGTTCAAGAAAAACTTTAAAAAATCATAACAATGAAATAAAGCATGCTATAAATGAGAACTTTTTGTACCTGCCTTTATACTTTTGGTGCATACATTATTTTGAATATTGTATGCAAATGCCTGATTTGGTAAAGAGTTTGTTTCCGATTATTTCTTCATCTTTCTGACTTTTTTTTAGCCTCAAGTCCAAGTACGCCAAGTAGCTGTAAAATTTGCCAGCACAGTGTTTCCTTCTGATCATATTCCTTCAAGATACTTGCTTCTTTTAGCTGCAGGAGACCCGTAAGTTTAATATTGCATCATAGACGGTATAAAACACAAAGGTTATATAATGGTATGCTAAATAGGGATCGATAATTCTTATTTTGATTCTTTTAAACTGTTACTTCAATTAATATCCATTTTACTGATTCTGTAAAATATATTTTATTTATTTATTAGAGTTTTTATCCTGCTTTTATTATTTCATAAGTACCTCAAGGCAGCAAACACACATACTACTTCCTTCCTCTGCAATTTTCCCCATCTCAACAACCCTGTGAAGTGAGTTGGGCTGGCCCATAATTACCGAGCTAGCTTTCTTGCCTAAGGCAGGACTAGAACTCAGTCCCCTGGTTTCTAGACCAGTATCTTAACCACTGTACTAAACTGGCTCCCTTTTAATTGATATACTTTTCTTTCAGATTTTGTCACACCACAAAAAATCTGAAAAACACAATTGTCCCAGTTCACGAATAATATAAGCCAGAAATTTAAATTATGTATCTTCCACAAATGTCTTCCTCTTTATTGCAGCTGGAACAATGAATAAATCAGAATTTATTTTCACTTTTGCATTTTTCCATAGTAACTTGTATTTATGAGAGTTGTTTTTTTTAAAAAAAAAGTCAATTTGTAAGTAAAACAAACTTTTAAGTCACAGATGGGTTTCCTGTTTTATTTAATGTCTCCATTAAAGACTTGATAAGTGAAGAGTCTACTGAATCAAACTAAAGTTTATTGTTATTAGTATTCAAATAAGAAAGACAATGCAAAGAGGAACCTGGCTCTTCCTTGTTTGTGCATGCAATGTTAAATAATTGGTTCTTAAGGTTGTGCGATCCTGTGGAAAATATTTCAAGTAACGTATTTTGGAGTTCAAGAGAGCACCGATATAAAAGAAGTTGTGTCTTGTCTTAGAATTTCATGGCTTCCCTCTGTGTGATTCCAGGAGAAGATGCAGCTACTTTAAAGAGTTGCAGACATTGTACATTTTGAAATCAAATCCAGAATTTAAACACAGCTCTTGCGTTAATATGAACTGGCATGTCAATTTATGTTTTTCTGCTCAGTTATTTTTGGCGGTTGATAAATGAAAGGTTCTATTTGTTTGTGCATGTGTGAAAATGTTTTATTTTAATTTCTGAAAGGCGGGAAGAGGTGCACGGAGAAGCACAACGTGCTCTGAGAACATTTCCTGGTAAAAATGAAAAGGAAAGTGCTGATAAACAGATGCCTTCATTTCCAGAAATGGTCCAGTATATTCAAGAAAAGGTACAGGACTTCAGCTTAAGACTCTGTGTAATTCTATGGAATACACTGTTCAAAGTATAGCCATAATATTTCCCTGTTGAGGACATGAACTGAATTACATGTAGTCCTTGTTTAGCTACTACAATTGACACTTTAAGTGGTCGCTAAGTTAAAAAAGTATATGGCCACGATTGTTTTTATGATCTTACTTCAGCTTTCCTTTGCTTTACAGACCTGCAAAAATTGTAAATGCAGGCATTGGTCGCAAAGTTACTTGGTTACTGTCCAAGGCAGTCATTAAGCAAGGACTACCTGTAATTAATGGTGGGATTCAGCCAGCTTGCACCAGTTCGGCAGAACCAGTAGCAAATATTTTGTTGCCCAGGCCCAGAATGGACTTCCGGAAGCGGCATCCACACAGAGAACCGGTTGTTCACATATTTGAATCCCCCCACTGCCTATAATGTCATAGGACCAGTTGTGAAATGAAAGTCCAGTAATTTGTATGAGTTTATTTATTTAT